TATTTATTAAAATTTAGTGGTTATCCCACACATCTCCTTGGGACGGTTGGTGGGGGGTGGGGGGGAGGGAGGGACCGACCGACCATCTGTTACCCCGTGAAGAATTATTATTTTTTTTATTAACTGAAGATATTTGTTTTAGCTCATAAAATTCATACAAATTACCCGGTCAGAATATAATTTACATTGCTGGAATTCTTATAATTTGGTGATCATTTTGAATATAAACATCATATATTTTGCATTAAACATACAATTTTTAGATAAAAATTTTTCTCAGGTAACTATGTTATCTTTTGTGCAAAATATATGACATTTATATTCAAAATATTCCTGGTCTTACAAGGAATCCAGCAATGTCAATTATATTATCCTAACTTTAATCTGAGGTATTATTTAATACTAAATGTTAAAAACTCTGGAAGGGAGGATTGGTGGGGGGTGGGGGGGAGGGTTGGGACTGACCGCGCGGTTGGAAGAGGGGGGGAGGCAAGGTGGGGTACTTTGATTGACAGATAGTGTCGTGAAGATTATTTTTTTTTTATTAACTGAAGATATTTGTTTTAGCTCATAAAATTCATACAAATTACCCGGTCAGAATATAATTTACATTGCTGGAATTCTTATAATTTGGTGATCATTTTGAATATAAACATCATATATTTTGCATTAAACATACAATTTTTAGATAAAATTTTTCTCTAGGTAACTATGTTATCTTTTGTGCAAAATATATGACATTTATATTCAAAATATTCCTGGTCTTACAAGGAATCCAGCAATGTCAATTGTATTATCCTAACTTTAGTTTGAGGTATTATTTATTAAAATTTAGTGGTTTTCCCCAAAAAATTTCTCAGAGAGGGAAGAGCCAGCAGTGTAGTGTGAGAGAGGGGAGGGAGTTGAGTCCATTATTTGAATGGACATTAACTTGGCGACTGTATTTCTCTATTTCTCTTAAGTATTAATTGTGTGCATGTACCATCATAAAATTAAGATGTTATTTTTACTACAACATAGGTATGTGCCTTCAAAAAGTGGAGTTTGGGGGTCGGGCCGGTTTCTATTGGAATTAATCCCATATGTTCTGTTGTTCACTTAACGGGGATTTCACTTAACGCGGGACCCTCTGGGTTCAATTGACCGCGTTAAGTGGGGTACAACTGTACTGTTGTATATTACAATAATATTCTATCCTAATTCACTTGAATATATACTAAGATACCATATTTCTGAATATTTTCATTAAAATCCATCAAAATCATTTTCCTTGTCATTGTCTTAAGCACCAAACAGCTCTTCCCAGTCTTCTCCTTGAACAGGGCTAGAGGGTACGTGTTTTTCGAATCGTTTTCAGTTAAAAAAATGTTACATCACATGTATATTTTACCTAAACTGCGCCTGAATGAATATATTCTCAGAAATAAATAGTAGTTTTGCTGAAACGTGATGTATTTCAATGTAAAATAGGATAAAATGCATGACGAAAACAAAAGACTTTACCTAACCTTCCGATGTTCAAGAGATGTGACTCATTTTTTTAATAGTTTACGGTTAAAATACTGTTATATTACAATGATATTCTATTCATACTGTGCTTGATATACTACATTCACGGAAATGTAATATTTTTGCTGAAATGACGTACGTATTACAGTGGAAAGTGGGATAAAATCATGACGAAAACAATGACTTTCGCTTTCTTTCGTTCAAAAGATGTTACCGTAATCGCTTTTCGAATGGTTTTCAGTTAAAAAAAACTGTTGCATCACAAGTGAATTAGGATAGAATATTATTGTAATACAACAGTTTTTTAACTGAAAACCATTCGAAAAGCGATTCCGGTAACATCTTTTGAACGAAAGAAAGCGAAAGTCATTGCTTTCATCACTTTCCACAGTAATACATACGTCATTTCAGCAGAAATATTACATTAACATATTCTCAGAAATAAATAGTAGTTTTGCTGAAACGTAATGTACAGTCAACCCTCACTTTACGCGGTTAATGTAACCCACAGGGTACCGCGGAAAGTGAGAAACGCGTAAAGTGAATAACATAACATATGGGATTAAATGAAATAGAGACCAGCTGACCCCCAAACTCCACTTTTTCCAACACAATACCTATGTTCTAGTAAAAATAACATCTTAATTTTATGATGGTACATGCACACAATTAATACTTAAGAGAAATAGAGAAATACAGTCGCCAAGTTAATGTCCATTCAAATAATGGACTCAACCCCCTCCCCCTCTTCTCACTCCTGGCTCTTCCCTCTCTGAGAAATTTTTGGGGGAAAACCAGGTATAGTAATAAATAATACCTCAAACTAAAGTTAGGATAATATACTTGACATTGCTGGATTCCTTGTAAGACCAGGAATATTTTGAATAGGCCTACAAATGTCATATATTTTGCACAAAAGATAACATATTTACTCAGAGTAAACATTATATCTAAAATTTGTATGTCTAATGCAAAATCTATGATGTTTATATTCAAAATGATCATCAAATTGTAAGAATTCCAGCAATGCAAATTATATTCTGGCCGGGTAATTTGTATGAATTTTATGAGCTAAAACAAATATCTTCAGTCAATAAAAAAAAAAAATATTCTTCACGACACTATCTGTCAATCAAAGTACCCCACCTTGCCTCCCCCCCTCTTCCAACGGGGCCAGATGGTCGGTCAGTCCCAACCCTCCCCCCCACCCCCCACCAATCCTCCCTTCAAGAGAAAGGTTGGGTGAAAAAACTAGATTTTAACATTTAGTATTAAATAATACCTCAGATTAAAGTTAGGATAATATAATTGACATTGCTGGATTCCTTGTATAACCAGGAATATTTTGAATATAAATGTCATATATTTTGCACAAACGATAACATATTTACTCAGTAAACATTATATCTAAAATTTGTATGTCTAATGCAAAATATATGATATTTATATTCAAAATGATCATCAAATTGTAAGAATTCCAGCAATGTAAATTATATTCTGGCTGGGTAATTTGTATGAATTTTATGAGCTAAAACAAATATCTTCAGTTAATAAAAAAAAATAAAAATATTCTTCACACCGTGGTGCCAGGTGGTCAGTCGCCGGTCCCTCCCTCCCTCCCACTCCCCACCAACCCTCCCTACCAGATGAATGTGTGGGAATACCAGACTGTTTACCTTTTTAGTAATAAATAATAAATCAGACTAAAGTTAGGATAATATAATTGACATTGCTGGATTCCTTGTAAGACCAGGAATATTTTGAATATAAATGTCCTATATTTTGCACAAAAGATAACATATTTACTCAGAGTAAACATTATATCTAAAATTTGTATGTCTAATGCAAAATCTATGATGTTTATATTCAAAATGATCATCAAATTGTAAGAATTCCAGCAATGTAAATTATATTCTGGCCGGATAATTTGTATGAATTTTATGAGCTAAATAAAAAAATTATACTTCACCCGTGTAAAGAGGTACACCCACCGCGGAATGTGAGCATCCTGGGTTCTGGCAGGGCACCGTGTAAACGTGGAATGTGGGACCGCGTAAAGTGAGGGTTGACTGTATTTCAATGTAAATTAGGATAAGCTACATGAAAGCAAAAGACTTTACCTAACCTTCTGATGTTCAAGATATGTTACTCATTTTGTTAATAGTTTTCGGTTAAAATACTGTTATATTAGTGATATTCTATTCATACTGTGCTTGATATAATACATTCACAGAAATGTAATATTTTTGCAACTACAATGCTGATGTCAACACAAGCATGGTTACAGCGAGACTGACTGAGTGAGGGAGAGCTATGCGTGTGTGTGTGAGGTTGCGGGAGCGGGCGGTGTCCCGTGTTCGGTGCCGCGCGCGAGTTGAATGGTGCGCGATTTGAATGTACTTCAATTACTTCAATGTACAGAATATTCCTCCGACAGGGCAATCCGCGTATTTGCAAATCTGTGAATGCTAAAACCGCGGATGTTAAGGGCCGACTGTACTGTACTATACTGATTACATGCAACACATTGTCCGTGAGGAGCAGTTTCATCTCCAATAGACATGAAGCCAAAGTTTATATAGTTGTCATCAACCTTGCATTTCTTGACTTTCCCACTTGCTGATTTTTAAACTCCTAATTTTTTAATCACTGGAGCAAATGTGTTTGGTTCATCCACCTCATTAGTACATGAACCTCTTTGTTCATCAGAGTGACCAGATGTACCAGCATGTTCATCACCATCTTGGGGCTTTGGTTTTAGGTGCAGTATTTTAACCAATTTTCCATCTCAAACACAGCGCAACCCAAATGGTGGATGTACGTGAGTGATTAAGGCAGATGATAACTCCTTTTAAGGCCAGGTCTACGGCAACACAAATCACCGTCGCTGTGTCGCGTCAAAGTGAGAGTTCACTACTGATGACAATTTAGCAGTATTAAATTTTAGCGAAGGTTTTATTTGATATCCCATACGCATATGTAATATTGTTTTATAAAAACATGACATTAAACAAGTACACAAAACAAATGCTGTACTGTACATTCGCCTTTTACATTCACCATTTTGATAATAATGTATCCGGTCTGCCACTCATTACATTTTAGCTTGTCAAAATTCTAAACTTTTCAAGTTAGACATGTATCAGAGGTGTGCTATCCCATGGAACCCTTGGTACTTCTTCCCGGAACCCGCAGAACACAGGCTGGGAATTTATTCTATGTTATTCATGAATATTTGGTGTTATAAAGTAAATTGTTTACCAATGAATTCAGAAATATAAAAGTTGTATTTTATGAGGGACAACTGGATTGTAGTTTTATCCTCATTTTACTGTAACTGGTTGACAACTTGTGGATGTTCAGTGTATTTTCAGGTTTCATAAGTTCAGAGATTGTGAATAATGTTGTTCACTGATGTTGATTGCTTCAGGATAAAAACCATACAAGTATAAAGATTATAAAGATTAGTAATTTTTTTTTATCTTTACCAGAGTTTGACTGGTGTGTATGGTATTGGATCAAGTCTAGCTGAGAAGTTGTATAGCACTTACAATATCAGATCTGTTCAAGATATCATCAGGCTGTGGAATGAATTGAATCTTTCTGATGAAAGAATTAAATATGGTAAGAACCATTGATAGTAATGTTTTGGTGATACAGTAATACTATAACAGATGTATTAAGTTTTGATGAAACTTGTTAGGATTGTTCTGTTAGGTAAGATCTTTGATGGGGATGCAATGAATTATAAGTGTTATTGTAGTAGCCAGAGCAGTGACAGTGTCATGGTAATTTGAGATATAAAACAAATGGTTTAGGAATTGGTTAACTAATACTTCTCTATTAATGTGTTCACTTACTTTTAAGTCAGCATCCCATAATTTGTTGATATAAAATGAAAAGTAAATTTTTACTTTAGGACAGGAGTCTAGAGGTTGACCAATATGTTTCTCCAGTGTATTTTGGTGTTTTGTAAACGAATCTGACCTTCATTTTTGGGGGAGAAAACGAAAACGAGTCATCTGACCTAACAAAACCTAACCTAACTCCTATCCGGGGGCCCCCGGCAGGCCTAACCTGACCCTTAGTCGGGGACGGACCCCCAGTAGGCCTAGCTTAAACTAACCTAAATGTTTCAGTAGTTAAAAACTTTGGGATGCGCCATGTCCGAAAATAAAATACCTTAGTTAGAAGTTGAAGGACATTTCCCCTAGTAGAGAAGGTATAATATATTCTCAACTGAACTAAGGACCTGTGGAACTATATTTTCTACAATAAAGAAAAACCAACAAAGTGTTTACTTCAGCCCTGCCACTTATTAATTCCATAAGCTCTTTGAACAGGCATTGTGTGAAATATAACAGAGTCTAGGACTGCTTTTAGTGTCCTGGTGGCTCAGAGGTAGCGTTCCCCGGTCACAATTATAAGATCGTGGGTTCGAATCCTGGCGGGGTGAGGTGTTTATTATATGCAGAAGTCCGCATGCTTTATTGGGCTAATTAAATATATACGTATTTTGTGTGTGTGTGTTTTGACAACCCTTTATCCGAAAGCTCTGAAAAAACGAAAGCTTTTTTGTGGAGCAAATTTTTTTTTTTTTTTAACAGGGATTAGCCCACCCAGGCATAGATCACTGACCCACATTGGGGCCTGGGGGCGAAGATGTAATAGTAGTACTAATTATATAATAATTATTCATAGTAATAAAATTTTTAATTAAAAAATACACCAAAATAAAATAATAATGATAACAATAATAATAATAATAATAAAATATAATACATGTATAGTCAACCCTCGCTTTACGCGGACCCACATTCCGCGTTTCCACATTTACGCTGTACCCTGCCGAAACCGGAATGCTCACATTCCGCGGTGCGTGTACCCCTTTACGCGGAGAGCGGCTGGCGAGCCGCGCCATTTTTGGATCCAAACCTCCCGCCATCTCTCCCGCCCTCCCCCACCATCCGCCATGTTGTGTAAGCGGCGCGAGCAGGGTGCGCACAAGGTCTCCCAGTCATCAAAACATTACCGAGTTCTTCACCCGCCACCCACCACAGCCGGCCCAAGTCAATGATAGTGAAAATTATAGTGAGGATATGGACTTATATGGACTTTGAGGGGTTTGACAAAGAGGCCCTGCAAGCCTCTGTGGTGGATAGTGATACAAGTGATACAGGTGAGGGCCAATAATCTGCCCTCTGCCTCGGAACCAACCCCCCATCCCCCGTGTGCCCAGCCATCTTTTCTACTAATGTAAGTGTTAAAAAACCTAATATTATTGATATTTCTCTTAATTATTAATTGTGTGTGCATACCATCATAAAATTAAGAAGTTATTTTTACTACAACGTAAGCATTGTCTGAAAAAGTGGAGTTTGGGGGTTGGCCCGGTCTCTATTTCAATTAATCCCATATGTTATGTTGTTCAATTTACACGTTTCTCACTTTCCGCGGTACCCTGTGGGTTGAATTAACCGCGTAAAGTGAGTGTTCACTGTAATAAAAATTTTAACAATAATACTAATAATAATACTGTATTAATAAAATAATAATAATAATATTAAAGAAATACAAGAATGAAAAAAGATAAAAAGTGAGAAACACGACCTAGACCTATGAATTATTATTATTATAATTATTATTATTATTATTATTATTATTATTATTATTATTATTATTATTATTATTATTATTATTATTATTATTATTATTATTAATATTATTATTATTATTATAATTATTATTATATTTTTGCCCCCCAGGCCCCAATGTGGATCAGTGACTTGTGCCCGGGTGGGAAAAAAAAAAAAAAAAACCTTTGAAAACCGAAAAATTCCGAAATCCGAAATGCCTCTGGCCCCAAGGATTTCGGATAAGGGATTGTCAACCTGTAATAACTAGGTGGGGAGGTGGGGAGAAGCTCAAACTACAGGGCATTTCAACATAGTGACAGTGCAAAAAACAAGATTGACTGGGAGTGAATACACTGCTTTATTACAAGTTATTGATAATTTTTACAATGGTTGGGACTGGGCTGTTCTTATAGAGATCAGTTCATGCTCGTATGGGCTGGATGCGGTTGTGGGATCTCAGGTGGTAGTAGGAGCCGGTGTCGAGGATCATGCAGTAGCTTCTCACCAATTTGCAGGTGAGGTTGTGGTGATGGTCAGTGAGAGTCGAGAGGGTCAGTGTGTTAAGCGCTTCTTGATATGTGGAGTAGGAAGGGGAGAGAAAAATCTTGCTTGCCCTCTTTTGCACTTTTTCTAGGTGTTTATGTTGTGTGGCATTTAGGGAGGAAGACCAGGTAGGGGAGGCATAGGTGAGCTTGGGAAGTATGAATGTTGAGTAAACACTGAGGAGCTCGGGTGCAGGAACTCCGAGGGACTTGAGTCGGCAGGGGAGGTGGAGACAGAAACTGGAGGATTTGATAACTTCACTGACGAGTGGTTTCCAATTTAGTTTGTTGTCTATGGTGATGCCGAGGAGCTTAGTGAAATCTACAACCTGGAGTGTGTTGGGACCTTAAGTAATGGAAGGGGGTGGGACAACATCAGAGGAGAGGTTGATGTGCATAACCATGGTCTTTCTATGGTTGATGGTAACGTGGTTGTTGGTGGCCCAGTTTTGGAGACTGTGCTATAAATCCTGAAGGGTGGTATAGTCGGGAGCAGAATTGTTGACGTTGATCCCAATGTTGGAGTCGTCGACATATTTACAGTGAGCAGGGGTTTCTCTTAGGGCATCATTGATAAGCATAAGGAAGCATAGTGGTCCCATCTTGGTGCCTTGGGGGACGCCACAGGTGAGTGACTGAAAGGTGGAGACAGCCCCTCGGAAGCGTACAGCTTGGTGTTGGTTACTGAGGAAGTCTGTACGCCATGGTATGAGACTTCTTCGAAGCCTGAGGTCGATGGCTTTGTTGATGATTAAATTGTGGTTGACTGTGTCGAATGCCTTAGTGAAGTCAATGAAGGCGACAGCTACAGACGTTTTTCGTTTCTCCAGATGGCGGTATATGTAGTCGAGAAAGCTGACAAGACAGTGAGTGGTGGAGGAAGTTTTCATATTACCAAATTGTTGAGGATCTACGGCTCCTGCAATATCAGCATAAGCCCAGTCGAACACAAAACTTTCACAGATTATGCTGGGTATTGGGGTGATTGCAATGGGTCGTAGCTGATATAAGGATTGTGGGCTGATTGACTTGGATACTGGTGATACATAAGAAGTCTTCCAGTCAGCTGGGCATTTGGCTTGACTGAGCCATTGATGATGGAGCAGAGGGGTTTAGTAAGCTCCGGGGAGAACTCCTGAAGAGTTTTATTGGTAGGTCAATGGGGGTGGTAGAGCGTTTTAACTTTAGTTTGTCCAGACGTTTTGCTACTTCAAATTCTTCTACTAAGTCAGTGGGTAAGGGGGCTGGTAGGTAAGCAGGGAGATTGGTTGTGTCAAGCCAGGGGAGTGTCTGGCATATAGTAGCGAAATGGTTTGATTGCTCAGCTGCGTCAACTGACTGATGTTGGTCTGCTTCAGGTGTTGCAATTTGGTTGGGTAGTGAGACTTCTTTGCAGTGTGTATTTCGCGGATGACTCGGTTGCAAAGGGACCTGTAGTGGTTGTGGTCATTGAGATTAAAGGCTCTGTCTCTGTTGCATGAGTCTTTTGATCCGAGGTGTGATCCTGGGCAAATCAGCTGGGTGAGGTCTGACGAACTTCTCGGGGAAGAAGCGGTGGTGAGCTTCCGTGGTGTGTGCTACATGTGATAGCAGGCATTGGTTGAGGTGGTGTGTGTGTGTAATAATAAATAATAAACGGTTTATTAATAGAGTTGCAGCCGGTGGCTGAAAATATACAGACTTACATTTGATTTAGACATAATGATATAATATGCATTGAATACATTTACAGGGCTGTACAGTACATAAATCAGGAGTTGTTTATTATTTTAACAATAGATGGGATGGTGCTGTTCTTATGTCTATCGGTGCGGGCTCTTATGGGCTGAATTTTGTTGTAGTGGCGGACTGTGTGAGTTGGGTGGGGGGCTGCCGGTGGCAGGAGGTGGCGATGGCGACGGTGGTGCAGTAGTCCACTGCCAAACCTTTCCAGTGCTTGGTGGTGAAGGTCACTGAGGGATGGCATTTCCAGGGTGGAGAGGGCGTTGGTGTAGCCGGAGTATTCTGCGCCGAGCATGATTCTGCAGGCCCTTTTCTGTACCCTCTCTAGCTGACATTGTTGGGTGGAGTTGAGAGAAGACGACCAGGCTGGTGACGCATACGTGTGTGTGTGTGTGTGTGTGTGTGTGTGTGTGTGTGTGTGTGTGTGTGTGTGTGTGTGTGTCACACACTTACTTCATTTTTCTTATTTTATAGCAGTATGTCATCTCCATAGAGATGTACTGTAAAGTTTGTAATTGTATTGTATTTAATATACATCTTCTCTTTTATATGTGTTTCACTCAAATTTAATTAAATGTAGTCGAGGACAAAAGTTCCATCACTGTGGTGAAGCTGAGTCAAAGGAATTAGTTTCCGAACTGACTTACCCTGACTGTTGTATCTCATTTGGGGCTGATACTGTTTCATTTAAGGAAGGAGCAAACTTTTGACTCTGACTGTACAATACAGGTATTGTTTAGTGAAGGAACACACGACTTAGGCTTTCAGGAGTGTTATCCCATATGCCTTTAGTCTTGCCAACTGAGGATTTGCCAACCACCGGGTTTTTCAGGAACTTAGCCCCTGTGGTTGGCAAGGAACTACTGTATAATATATAGAGTGGGCCATACTTCTCAGACAACTCTTTGTAGGGAAAGCCTATATCTACTGCACACTATACAGTTGGCCCTTAACATACACTGGGGTTAAGTAACAGAGATACCCGTGAATGTTAAAAATCCGTGTACTTTTGCTGCCTCCCCTAAAAAACCCCTGGCCCCCCATGTCCTTACTTACCGTATATACTTGTGTGTAGTTCGAGTTTTTAAGACCAAATTATTTGGCAAAAAATTGGGGGTCGACCTCTAAACGGGTAATAGTTTCGTTAGGTTGAAAAATATTTACCAGTAACTACCAGTAAACAATGGAAACGACGCACCAACGCACCACCAGCTGTGAGTGTCGGTACAGTTGCCAGGGCAGATCGCTTGCGTCATCATAGCAAGCCCAAAGTAGCCAAATGCATGGTATGGTATGCACAAGGTGATGTAAAACATAAAGTATTCATTTTTTAAAGTTTATTTATAGAAATACTGTACATAAATTTTTTTTCATTACGTTTGAAACATCAATCTTTGTTAATTAAATTTGAAAGAAAAGAAAACTACGATACCGTATGTCTAAATACCTGGTATTTTCATTAAAATGTTACATCACAAGTATATTTTACCTTAACTGTGACTGAATGAATATATTCTCAGAAATAAATATGGAAATGTAATATTTTTGCAGAAATGACGTACGTATTACAGTGGAAAATGGCATAAAATTATGACAAAAACAATGACTTTTGCTTTCTTTCGTTGTTCAAAAGATTTTACCGTGGAACAAACCTGTACTGTACATGTACTAAATGATTACGGTACTTAAATTGTTATGTCTATTGCAAATATAGATTGTTTATACAGGTATTCAAATAAATCCTTATCTTACAAGAATCCCAGCAATGTAAGTTATATTCACCCAGGTCGTTTGCGTGGCAAATTATGAGAAGAGCTGAGTCACTCTTAAGTAATGATAAATAAACAGTAGGCCTTCAGTGCCAACTGTCACATCTTATCTCAAATAAATAGAAAAATACCATACTCTCACCCCACCTCCCGCCCCTGCCCCTGCCTCCCTCCCTGTTTCCCCCCCCCATGCTTGCTGGCTACCTCCCTCCTTGTGTTCCCAGACGAAAGATTGGTGATAACTTTATTCTTTAAGGTGTTTATTTTATATAATATCTCAGACTAAAGTTAGGAGATTATAATTTGCATTGCTGGAATCCTTGCAAGACAGCTAATAATTTGAATATAAACGTCGTATATTTTGCTCAAGATATAAAAATGTAGTACATTAGTGTACAATAGTGTGTAGTACATTTTACAATACAGTATAAAGTTTTCAACTGTATTTTTGGGTAGATTTACTTAAATTTCTTCATTTATTTTCATCCATTTACATGCACACACCATACTAAAAGAAATAAATGACCTTAGGGCAAAGCTGGAGTGTACATGTACAGTAATACCCCGCTTAACACGGTTCCGCTTAGCGCGATTTCACGTATACGCGGTGCCTCGCCAGAGCTCAACTTTCACTTAACGCGGGCTTTTTCCACGTATACGCGCAGAGTGTCCGGCTCGAGAGCAATTTTTAGATTCTCTCCACCTGCCACCCTGCCTGACTGCCTGCCTGCCTGTTTTAGCTCATAAAATTCATACAAATTACCCGGCCAGAATATAATTTACATTGCTGGAATTCTTACAATATGATGATCATTTTGAATGTAAACATCATAGATTTTGCATTAGACATACAAATTTTAGATATAATGTTTACTCTGAGTAAATATGTTATTTTTTGTGCAAAATATATGACATTTGTATTCAAAATATTCCTGGTCTTACAAGGAATCCAGCAATGTCAGTTATATTATCCTAACTTTAGTTTGAGGTATTATTTATTACTAAAAAGGTAAATATTCTGGTTTTCCCACACATCTGGTAGGGACGGTTGGTGGGGGGTGGGGGGGAGGGAGGGACCGACCGACCATCTGTTACCGTGTGAAGAATATTTTTTTTTTTTATGAACTGAAGATATTTGTTTTAGCTCATAAAATTCATACAAATTACCCTGTCAGAATATAATTTACATTGCTGGAATTCTTATAATTTGATGATCATTTCGAATATAAACATCATAGATTTTGCATTAGACATACAAATTTTAGATGTAATGTTTACTCTGAGTAAATATGTTATCTTTTGTGCAAAATATATGACATTTATATTCAAAATATTCCTGGTCTTACAAGGAATCCAGCAATGTCAATTATGTTATTCCAACTTTAATCTGAGGTGTTATTTAATACAAAATGTTAAAATTTAGTTTTTTCACCCAACATCTCTTGAAGGGAGGATTGGTGGGGGGTGGGGGGGAGGGTTGGGACGGACCGCGCGGTTGGAAGATGGGGGAAGCAAGGTGGGGTACTTTGATTGACAGATAGTGTCATGAAGAATATTTTTTTTTTATTAACTGAAGATATTTGTTTTAGCTCATAAAATTCATACAAATTACCCGGCCAGAATATAATTTACATTGCTGGAATTCTTACAATTTGGTGATCATTTTGAATATAAACAGCATTGATTTTGCATTAGACATACAAATTTTAGATATAATGTTTACTCTGAGTAAATATGTTATCTTTTGTGCAAAATATATGACATTTATATTCAAAATATTCCTGGTCTTACAAGGAATCCAGCAATGTCAATTGTATTATCCTAACTTTAGTTTGAGGTATTATTTATTAAAATTTAGTGGTTTTCCCCCCAAAATTTCTCAGAGAGGGAAGAGCCAGCAGTGTAGTGTGAGAAGAGGGGGAGGGAGTTGAGTCCATTATTTGAATGGACATTAACTTGGCGACTGTATTTCTCTATTTCTCTTAAGTATTAATTGTGTGCATGTACCATCATAAAATTAAGATGTTATTTTTACTAGAACATAGGTATTGTGTCGGAAAAAGTGGAGTTTGGGGGTCGGGCCAGTTTCTATTGAAATTAATCCCATATGTTCTGTTTTTCACTTAACACGGTACCCTGTGGGTTTTATTGACCGCGTTAAACGGGGTACTACTGTACTAATTTCATTACGGTGCTAAAATTGTTATGTCTAGTGCAAATTATAGCATGTTGCTATTCAAATTAATGAGTGTCTTACAAGAATCCCAGCAATGTTAATTATATTCTTCCAGGTCATTTCAGTGGCATTTTAAAATGGGAGAAGCGTAGTAGGACTGCTAAATAAACACACAGAGACCTTCGGCTCAAACTGTCAAACATATCACCTCAACCCCCACCCCTCGCTGGCTGGCTGGCTCCGTTCCTCCCTCCCTAATCTGCTTAGCCGGGGTTTTATTTAGGCTTATAGTTTTTATCTTGTATAATATCTCAGACTTAAGTTAGGAGATTATAATTTGCATTGCTGGAATCCTTGCAAGACAGCCAATAATTTGAATATAAACGTCATATATTTTGCTCAAGAGATAAAAATTGTTGTACTTGTGTACACTACTGGTTTTCAGTTAATAAACTGTTGTATTACAATAATATTCCCTCCAAATTGACTTGAATAAATACTTGAATGGAAATATACAATATTTTTGTTGAAACTACCCGGGCTTCAGTGTAAAGTGTCATAAAAATAAATGGTAAACAATTTGCCTATGGCACTCTGTGTTTCAGGCACGGCGAGCCTCAGTTTATAGGACGTAGAGTGTTTTTACTGAAGGTTTTGTTGTACCAATACCCTCAAAAACTTGGGTTGACCTATAAACAAGGAATATCATAAATTAACTGATTTTTTGGTAAAAAAAATCAGGGTCGACCTACAATGCTGATGTCAACACAAGCATGGTTACAGCGAAACTGACTGAGTGAGGGCGCGTGGGGTGGTGTGACGCGTGTGTGTGTGTGGGGGATGGCGGGCGGTGTGCGGTGCCGCGCGCGATTTGAATGTACTTCAATTACTTCAATGTACAGAATATTCCTCCGGCAGGGCAATCCGCGTATTTGCGAATCCGTGTATGCTAAACCCGTGTATGTGAAGGGCCGACTCTACTGTAAAAATATGTGGATCTTATTTATTCAAATAAGAATATGAATATGACTTTTAGGCTTATGTAAAATACTCTAAGCTACAAAGGTCTTTAGGTAATGGTATCTAATAGAGTACAGTATTTGAAAAATATATGATTTGTGATTACAGATCTTATGTAATTTTATTATATTTCAGGTTTAGCTTATTATGCAGACTTAAACTCTCCTGTTCCAAGGGAGTCAGCAGACAAAATAAAAGATATAGTGAAGAATGAATTAGACAAAGTCAAAGCAGGATGCACAGTGGAAATAGCAGGTGGATTTCGCAGGTAAAGTGAAAGTTCTTCATGAAAGTTTTTGTTTTGAGTTACTATAAGAAACTATTTTGAGAATTTAACAGACTGAATTCTGTTTCTTTGTGTGTTCTTAGCTTTAGTTAATGATGACACTCTGAGAGTCTTCCAGAATCAGTTTTTGATTAAATGGTTATGCAAAAAAATTTTCATAGGTAAGCTTTGATTAATCAGGATCTTTCTGCACCATAATTTTAACGAGTGAATTATTTTGACTTGTGGCAACATTTCCTTCCCATGTTGTCCTTCTCTACATCCCTCCCTCCACCATTAGTATTTTTGTTGTCATGAAGAATGTGCAGGTGCTCCCCGACTTACGACGGGGTTAGGGACCCAAATCCAGGTCGTAAATCCGACATGGTTGTAAGTCCGACATAGATAAAAAAAAAAAAAAAATGGAAAAAAAATTAAAATAAAAAAAAAAAAAATTAAAAATCTACAATGAAATACATTACACTAAACATAATAAATAATGAGGAATGGATACAGTACAGTAAAAGTAATAAATAATGAGGAATGGATACAGTGTGACAGAGCACTTACCTTAAATGTAGTCAGCTGAATGCACACAGGGTCCTCATAATTTTCTATTTACGGATACATGGAGACTACAGTGAACCCTCACTTTACGCGGTCAATTGAACCCACGGCGGCCCGCGTAAAGTGAACAACATAACATATTGAAATAGAGACCGGGCCGACCCCCAAACCCCACTTTTTCAGACACAATACCTACGTTGTAGTAAAAATAACTTCTTAATTTTATGATGGTATGCACACACAATTAATAATTAAGAGAAATATCAATAATATTAGGTTTTTTAACACTTACATTAGTAGAAAAGATGGCTGGGCACACGGGGATAGGGAGTTGGTTCCGAGGCAGAGGGCAGATTATTGGCCCTCACCTGTATCACTTGTATCAATTGAATCACTATCCACCACAGAGGCTTGCAGGGCCTCTTTGTCAAACCCCTCAAAGTCCATATAAGTCCATATCCTCAATATAATTATCACTATCACTGACTTGGGCCGGCTGTGGTGGGTGGCGGGTGAAGAACTCGGTAATGTTTTGATGACTGGGCGACCTTGTGCGTACCCTGCTCGTGCCACTCTACGCGTAAAAGGGTACACACACCGCGTAAAGTGAGCATTCCGGTTTCGGCAGGGTACAACGTAAACGTGGAAACGCGTAAAGTGAAACCGCGTAAAGTGGGGGTTTACTGTATATTATTTGGAAGAAGCAGAAGAGGAGACAGGGCTGGGTGGGTCATCAATGTCGCTTTCTTCAGACAGGTTTATGTGCTGTGGAAACTTGCTGGTTGAAGGTATTGGATCATCTTGAGGGAGTGAAGAGGCAGCACTGGTGGGGCGTGAGGAGACAGCACTAGGGGACTTCTTGAAATAGATGTCCAATTTAGACTGCACAGTTTGCTTTTTCTTTTCATTATAAATTTCTCTGTAGCAAGCAAGTGACTCTTGGACCATTCTGTCAACTTTGGCATAACGCTCATAATTTTGATCCATGCCATCAAACATTTGCATTGCTTTATTAATTGTAGCAAATGCCTCTGCCATATGTTTCACTGAAAACTTTTTGGGGGGTGCAGGTTCTTCTTCTACATTTTATCTCTCTTCTTCCTCTGCAATTTTCTGTGCATCTAGTTCAATAAGATCCTCGTTACTGAGCTCTTCTGCTACACTTTCAACCAACTGTCCAACATCTTCATTATCAATTTCTAACTCCAGCTGTTTACCTAACTCCACTAATATCCGAAATAACTTCATTTTCATTAAATCCTTTGAAACTGTTCACATATCTTTTCAAGATTTTCTTTCATATTCCATTCATGCAATGTTTTGTAACCTGATCCCATGCTGCACGAATGTTCTTTATACACGACAAAATGTTGTACTCCTTCCAAAACTCTCTTGAGTGTTTTCTCACCTTCAGTAGCAGCAACAGCCTGAGCGAAGGTCGTGCATAAATAATACGCTTTAAAGACAGCAATAGCACCTTGATCCATGGGTTGGATGATAGAGGTAGTGTTAGGTGGAATGTACACTACCTTAACATCAGGGTGCATGTCGTCCAGATGTGGTGGGTGTCCCGGAGCATTACCCAAAATCAGTATAATCTTGAATGGAATCTGTTGTTGCAGACAATACTCCTTGGCTCGTGGAATGAAACAAGTCATGAACCAATCCTCAAACAGTACTAGGGTCATCCAGGCTCTCTTATTACTGCGATAAAACACTGGCAGTGTGTGCTTGATGACATGTTTAAAAGCCCTGGGGTTCTCTTGTGAGGGTGCGTGTTTCCATACGCCTACACCACCCTCATCTTACTTACTTCTCTTGTCTTAGTTCTTGCTCTTACTCAGTTCTGTCACATATTCTTTTGGTAGCATGGACATTCTTTGGGAGCATGGTCGAGGGTCTAGGCACATGGGTATGGTAATTCTGGTATCAAGTCACTTGGACGGAAATACAGGTAAAATACTGTGGGAGAAATGAATACACCTAAAGTACTCTAAGAACAAATTTATTAATATGAAATCAAGGGAAAATGATATATTATTAATCATATAACTAACAGGTTCAACTCCTGGGCTTATTGCAGACTCAGTACTTTCTTCTTTACTTATTTTCTTATTTCTTTACTCAACAGTAATTACTCAGATCTTACATTCTTACTGCACACAATATTACTGGTGTTACATGGCCCTACTCACAATACATAGTACATGGCACTCATTGTAGATTACTTTCCTCAACATACCCAACATGGGATAATTATTTCCAACTAATTATCCCTAACATACATCTTACAACACTCTCTGTTGACATATACTTCCAAGGAGTAACCCAGGGTAGAACACTGGGGCTCACGACCGTTGTTGTGGTCGGTAGTAGCCAGACACAGGGCGAGTCTGGGGTCTGGCCCAATGAGGCAGTGGAACACATTAATCAGGCTGCATCGGTGCCATCGTTTCATATATGGTCCCTGCTGGGTTTCTACTACATCCGGAGCCGTTGTTCAACGATGCAAGAAACACAATGGGATCTGGAGAAACATTGGAGCAGTGTCATGGAACGGACTGGGAAGCATGACAACACAAACAACTCTCTTGTCTAGACGACAGACGTATTTACGTTATATTACTTCTTACACTGGGTGAATGACAATTCAACTGTCAAAGCATGAACACTGATGAACACTGGTATTCACTACAATTGACTGAATTAACTGAATGGCTACACATAAACATACCTGGAGAAACATTGGAGCAGCGTCAGGGAACGGTCTCCTTGCGAGATGCACGGGTATATATACCCCTGAGTTGCCAGTGATCGCTACTCACGCAATGACAATAATCACAAACAAACTAACTGTTACTCATTCAAAGATGACCCTCAGTTAACAAAGGTCTGGCGAATTACTTGAGTTGATTTACACAGACTAATTCAAAATTGAGCTTCCCAGGAGAAAGTGGAATAACAACGCATTGATAACTGTCTTCACAAAGGCGGGACTCTGGGAGGGAAACACAAGTGTAGCGTCTATGGGGAAAAACACGTCTTCTCGGGGGTCGCTAACTCACTCATGTTTTGCGGTCGTGGAGTTTAATAAGAATCATTAGTTAAATAGATCAGTAGTCAACGTGACCATGACACTCTGAATGATAGATCATGAAGGGCTTTAGCTTGAAACCAGCAACATTCCCCCCGAACAGAAGTGTAATTCTGTCCTTGAATGCCTTGAATCCGGGCATTGTTTTCGCCTCTTTGTGGATGTATGTCCGCTCAGGCATGCGCTTCCACAATAATCCAGTCTCATCCACATTGAATATTTGCTCAGGCAAATAATTCCCTTCCACAATCACATCATCTAACTTCTCCTTAAAAGATTCGGCAGCACCAACATCGGCACTAGCTGCCTCTCCACTAACCTTAACATTATGTAGACTGTAGCGTTTTTTAAATCTATCAAACCACCCATGACTTCCTGTAAAGGTTTGATCACATTCATCTCCTGCCTGCTCCTTCAGGCTTTGGAACAGGCTTCTTGCTTTAGCCTGTATGGTTAGAACGCTTAAGGGTACACGCTTCTGTATCTGGTCTTCTATCCATATCACCAATAATTTTTCCATATCGTGAATAGGACCTTGTCTTCTCTTTGATATTATAGTTCCCTTTATAGGTGTTGTTCCCTTCACTACTTTACGAATACGTTCCTTGTCCTTCAGAATAGTGGATATAGTCGAGTGTGAGAAACCTAGGTCGCGTGAGATTGTTGCTACTGTTTTTCCATTCTCATGCTGTGTTATTATCTTCATTTTCATCTCAAAGGTAATTGCCTGTCTCCTTTTCTTTGGAACACCACCAGCACTCTCACTTTTATGCTTTCCAGTCATTATAAAATCAATTAAATACGATAATAACGAAAGTTCACAGTGCGATCAGTATAAAATACGATAGCCAAGCACCAACTAAGTGCTCCACTGAGTGAGTGTACCCACGAGGCGACCCGAGACGCGCCACCCTCATGCCCTGGACGGAAACGTTTCGGTATAGAAAATGTGCTCGTCATTTGAAAATATTTTTGGTCACTACAGTCGCAGTTGTATGTCCCGACGGACTTATGGTCAGAGCAGGTTATAATAATAATAATAATAATAATTAACGGTTTATTGAAAAAGTTCTGCAGCCCGAAGGCTGAAAATATACATTGGGCATAAATGACTTATTACATACATTGGTGGTTTAACAAAAGCCTTCATTAGAGAAAGGTAAAGGAACATACAGTGAACATACAGATTAATGAAGGTGTTGAACAGCAAAAACGTAGTGTAGTAACTCCCTCCCAGATGGTGTTAGGAGGGACCTCACGTGGTGTAGTAATTCCCTCACAGATGGTGTTATGAGGGGCCTCACGTGGTGTATTCAGATGGTGTTATGAGGGGCGTGGTGTA